CCCAAATAGGCACTACACTAGTGGATTTGGGGATTGTTACCGTGAGAAATGGCCATTGTGCTTGCTAACTGAATGAATTACAGAGGTTGAAAATGAAACTAGACAGAGATGCCGGGCCCGTTGTGGTGTTATGGCGTTTGCATTGCTCCAAGTAAATTGGACATTGAATAAGGACTTATAAGTCTGTGGATATTTTTCTTTGGCCTAAATATATCACGGTTGTTTTGCTCTTTCCCACCACCTAGAGGTTGGCAGCCCTTCCAGAAACCAATATTGGCAGTGGCGTACAAAAGGCTGAATTCTACACATCGTAGGGTTGGCAACTCCAGGTTGGGAGATTCCTGGAGATTTGGGGTGAAGAGCCTGGGGAGGGGAGGGACCTGAGCGGGTTATGTTGCCCACAAAGCAGCCTTTTTCTCCAGGGGAACGGTTCTTCCTTGTCTGGAGATAATTCCAGAAGATCTCCAGGCTTTGCCTGGAGCCTGGCAACCGTATGTACGTGACCAGCTCCCTACAGGCTGACATGGCCGAGAAGGCTTTTCCCATAACCACTCTGCCTTGTAAAGGTCATGTCTGTGGGCCCATTTTTCTTTCTGTCTCCAGTTGATAGAGAAGAGGCTTCTGGTGTTAACCGAGGAGGAGAGGGACCCCTCTGATTGCCCCACGTCCCATTCTGACTCCACCCCCTCCCAGTCTGAGGAAGAGGATGAGGCCAGCAACAGTGGTAAAGGAAAAGAGACTTCATCCGAGGCCATCCAGAGGACTTCTGCTAACGACGGTATCAGGACAAGTCAGCCAGAGATGCCAGGACCAGGAACTGGTTCCCTGTCAGTTCCTTCCTCACACCAGCATGTGGGGAAAAGAGATCTTCCACCGAAGGCTGGCAGAACTTCCTTGAGTTCGTCTCTGTGTGGCAGCCACGGCTCTCAGGAAGAGAGAGCATTGCCCACTCTGAAGGAAACAGATGAAAGGGAGACCCAAAGTTTACAGAAACAGAACCAAGTTGGACTTAACTTAGGACAGCCCATAGGAATCCCACCTCATGCCCAGTGGGGAAAAACCAGTCCCATCGTAGCAGAAAACAACAGCCTAACTGGAAACAAAAGTTCAGGAGAGGAGATGATAGGACAGGGAGTTCAAAGACCACGCAGCACAGCATGTGGTGGGAGAGATGGCAGGCAAGGACAGGTCAAAGGTCAAGATGAGAGCCAAAGGGCTCCAGAGCAGGTCAGCCATACTGCCAAAGCAAAATCCCACGAAGAAACCCAGCTCGTCTGGCAAAATGTAGAACCGGCCCACAATTTATGTGGAAAACAAGGTGGTGTTCAACAAGGGGAAGTCAAACACGAACAAGGGGAAGTCAAACACGAACAAGGGGAAGTCAAACACGAACAAGGGGAAGTCAAACACGAACAGAGGTCTCAGGCTATCTTGGTAGGGGAGGAACATACCCCCAAAGGGATCGGCTGTGCTAATCAGAATATAAACAAAATGTTGTTAGGGGGTCGCACATCAGCAGAAAGAGCTCTGCAGCAGAATCTGAATGGACATGGAGAACGACATTTGGAAAAGGTCATAGGTCAGCCCCAAGACCAAGCTATTAGGGGGTCTGAGGATACCTCAAGTAGAACAGGGCTTGACAGTCAAGGTACGGGTATGACATCTCAGAGGGACAACCAGACCAACCGATTTAGTGAGCAACTCGTTCAGCTCGAATGTAAGAATCAGGACGGCGGCCGACGAGAGGCGCTCCGAGACCACATCCCAGTTCCGGCTTGCAGGAAAGGGCTGAATCCTGCCCTCACTGCAGCTTTACCTCACTGTGGGAGCACGGGGCCATGTAGCAAAAGCTTAGCCGGACGAGACCATCGAACGTCAGTGCCTGCTGGATCTGGAAAACAACCCGGTGGCCGAGAAGCCAAGGTCAGATTGCTGAAGAAGCCACAGATCAGCTGGGAGAAAACAAAGTGCGCCCCTGTCAAGACGAAGAGCAGCTCAGGCAAGGCCTTGCGGTGCTATGCAGATAATTTAGCACTGTCGACAACCACTCAGCAAGAGGGCCAACAGCCATCTTGCCTGCCCATACCGGAAACTGATTGGCACGTTAACTGCCCTGTCTTCACGCCATCTGTTGAACCCAGTGGGTGCAAAGGGAATCATTTGGCTTCAGCTGATTCTGTTGAGGTGAGAGGACTCAAAGGCCAACTGCCAAGAATCTCCACCGAGCACCTGTCGTTTCCCAGTAGCCCAGGGCTAGTGTCTCCATCTCTGAGCATCCAAAAGGATGCCGGCAACACTGAAAAGTTCCAGAAGGCTCAGTGGCCATGCTCAGACCAGGGGGAGGTTACTCCATGGGTGGGAAACCAACCTGGTGTCAGGCAGACTCTGAACCCCACTCTGAATCCCTCAGACTGTATCGTTGCAGTTGAAGCTGATGGGGGCAACTGTGGTCCTAGCGGGGATCACACCCCTGTACCCTCCAGCGGTAGCAAGAGAGCAGAAGTGTTTTCACCCAGACTCGGCAACTGTGATGAACACAGTGAGCCGAATCAGAGCGCCGAGCGTAGCGATCTGTTGTCTCCCGAAGGCCGAAGTGAAGAAGGCAGTTCAGGAAGTGAGGCGAGGAACCTGGGCCAGGTAGCAGAAATGCAAGATCTGCTCGAGCCAGCTACCAAGGCCAGTGCTGCCATGCTGGAACTTTCTGGAGGGAATGTAGAAGGCGGTCATAAATATGGCGCTAAGGGAGAAGAGCAAGCGGAAGAGGAGGACGAAGAAGATGAAGAGTTGTCCAGTTTCTCCTCCTTGCTCGCCTCCAAGCTCAGCCTCTCGCCTCACTGTCACCGCACGCCTTGCCCAAAGGAACGAGAGGACACAGCGCCCTCATCACCCGCCGAGAATGGGAAAACAGTTTCTAAGACAAGGCATTCAGTCCGGGTACAGGTGCCCCAGGAGGCCATTGTTCTGTTGAGCAAAAACCTGGGTGCCCACCCTACCCTACACCGTAGCCATAAGAGAAAGAGCAACAATTTAGGCACGCGGAGGAGCAAACGTCTACGTAATCAGTAGCCGAGCCTCTGACAGAAGCCGATGCCAGGTGGATGTGATATTTCACTTGTCTCCAAGTCCCCATTCCAGCTTTATCTTTTACGTTGCCCTGACATTTCAAAGCCCTGCCCCTCTTCGGGTGACGGATCTCCTCAGAAGGGACCTACTGAGGAGATACAGATTGGTTTATGATCTGTGGGGACATGACTTCTGTAAGGCGGGGGAGGCTGTTATTTTGTTCAAATTCCTTAGCACAGTAAAGAGAGTTGCCAACCTCTTTGTCGAGTGCAAATCGGAGGTGTTCCCTACGGGGCGACAGGAAACCAACTTCATGGCCCTCACAGCTTGGACTTTTGAGGTGTGGTCTCCATTACTGTTCTCAGTCTCCTGAAGCAGTGTGGTGCAGTGATTAGAAGGATAGGCTGGGAACCAAACCAGATGGAGATGCTGGTTGTTTTGGGTCAGAGGAACAACCTGTGTCATGGTCCTGATTGGAATTACGTCTCGCGTGCCCGCTATTTGAAAGAAAAAACAACAACCTGGGAGCTCCATGCACAGAATGGTCGATCAGGACCATGACACGGGGTGAGGCGGACCCGAAACAAACAGCATCTCATCTGGTTTGGTTCCCAGCCTATCCTTCTAACCACTGCACCACACTGCTTCAGGAGACTGAGAACAGGTGTTTTTTTTGTTTTGCCCAAGCTGGGGAGACCTGGCTTCAAATCCTTGCTCAGGTACAAAATGTATTCAGGTGTACACATTTTTTAAAAACTTAGACCCATTAAAAATATTCACATTCAGACATAAAAAACTTCTCAACACTCATACATAGATGGGTTAGTGCTGTGCAACTGAACCAAATGCGTTTCGGCCCCTAGGGGCCTTCCTCAGTGGTCACAATCCAAAATACAAACTTGACATACATTCAAAAATTTTTTTTACATAAGATGTGAAATACATATGCAGTATAAGGCCAAATATTATATACAGGGGTCATTTCATAGAAAAAGAGCTAGGGGAACTCATTAGCATAACTCATTAGCATATGCCACACCCCCTGACATCACCGGAAGTGTGTCATAAGGCCACACACCCCGCCCCCAACGGTCCC